TAATTAATTAAATATAATTTTATCAATATATGTCTGTCTGTCTACCTACCCATCTTTTATGGCTGTTATTTTTATAAGTATTAGTTTTTAACAGAAATATTAAAATTTAATAATGAATTAATGTTACACTATTATTTTTGTTTGTGATATCTCTTCCTAAAATAAAATTTATAAATTTGTATTTGATAATTATTAAAATATGTTTGTTCTTTTTATCCAAATTAATTTGACTTAACAATAAATTTATTTATTTATTAATATATTTATAATTTATTAAATTTCCATAAATTGCTACTTTATATTTTTGAAGAAAAAAAATAAATAAATAATGCAATAGAAAAATTATTTTAACAATCTTTAAGATGTAAATATTTGTTTTTAAATTATAATTATTTTAATTATCTTTATTAATAAAATAAGTTTTTAAACTCTTCATTTTAATCACATTAAGTTCTCTTTTTTACTCCTAGGTATATTTAATTTATTAACTTCTTATTATTTATATTTTTTATATCTAATTTTTATATAATTTACAAAGCATCAAATTTTTTCTTTCATACTAACTAATTAACTATATATATATGTTTTCTACAATATTTAAAAAGGGAAAATAAAATTGGTGATGAGGGTACATCATGCTTAGTTTCTGGCTTAGGAAAGTGCACTAATCTCTCAAATTTAACACTTCATCTTTAGTAAAATATGTTTATTTATTTTAGAGTGTGATACTTATGGAAATGAATTTAAAATAATACTACTAACTTACTAACACTTTTAATTTATTTATTTATTTTTTAGTTTTTTATTATTTTGCATGTGTTTTTTTTATTTTATTTCTTTGCTAATTTAATTCATTTTTTCATTTTCAAATTTTGCTTTTATTATGAATTAATTAATTAATTAATTTATTATAATTTGAGATTTATTTTTTCTTTCTTTATAGCTAATTAATTTACTGTATATTTTTTCTTCAATATTTAAATAGGAGCAATAATATTGGTTCAACTGGTGCATCAGGCTTAGGTTCTGGTTTAGGAAAGTGTACGAATCTCTCAAATTTAAAACTTCATCTTTAGTAAAAACTGTTTATTTGTTTTGGATTGTGATATTTATTAATATTAAAATTAATTTAAAACAATATAGCTAGCTCTTTTAATTTATTTATTTTTTATCAGCTTTTTATTTGGTTTATTTTACTTTTTTTTGTTCTACTTGTGATTTTTTCAAAATTTATTTTTTTGTTTATTTTTAATTTAACCCATTTTTTTCATTTTCGACTTTTAATTTTAATTAATTTCTTATTATTTCATATTATTTCTTCATTTTTTCCTTAAATATAACTAATGAAATATATATTTTTTCTTCAATATTTAAAAAGTTAAAATCTAATTTGTGATGAAGGTGCATTAGGCTTAGGTTCTGGTTTAGGAAACTGCACCAATCTATCAAATTTGACACTTCATCTAAGGTAAAAATAGTTTATTTGTTTTGGATTGTGATATTTTTGAAAAAAAAATAAATTTAAAACAATATAATTAATTATCACTTTTAATGTATTTATTAGCTTTTTATTTGATTCTTTTATTTTTATTTTGTTTGTGTTTTTTTTATTTTTTTTTTGTTTTTTATTAATTTTACTCATTTTTTCAATTATAACTTTTGCTTTTCTTATTAATTTATTCATTATTATTATTTCATTTTATTTCTACAATTTTTCCTTCTAAGTAACCATTTAGCTATATATTTTTTCTTCAATTTTTAAAAAGTTACAATTAAATTGGTGACGAAGGGGCATCAGGCTTATGCTTTGGTTTAGGAAAGTGTACTAATCTCTCAAATTTAACACTTTATCTTTAGTAAAAACAGTTTAGTTTTGGATTGTGATTTTTATGAATTTAAAACAATATAAATAACTCTATTAATTAATTTATTTATTATCTTTTTACTTTATTTATTTATCCTTTTATTCTGCTAATGTTTTTTTTATTAATTTCATTATTTTTTTGTTATTTTAACTCGTTTTTTAATTTTCAGCTTTTAAATTTTGCTTTTATTTTATTTTTTTCTTCATTTTTCCCTTCTAACTAACAAATTAACTATATATTTTTTCTTCAATTTTTAATAAGGAGGAATAAAATTGGTGAAATTAAAGCATCTCACTTAGGTTCTGGTTTGGGAAATTGCACTAATCTCTCAAATTTGATACTTGATCTTGAGTAAAAATAGTTTATTTTTTGGAATGTGATATTTCTAAATATTAAAATGAATTTAAAACAATATAATTTTCTCTTTTAATTTATTTATTAATTTAATAACTTTTTATTTAATATGATTGTTTTTTTTTTATTTATTTATTTTTTGTTTATAAAACTAATTTTTTCATTTTCAATTTTTGCTTTTATTATTAATTCATTCATTCATTCTTGTAATTAAATATTTTCTCTTAATTTTTTCCTTTTAATTAATATTTATTCTTTCTTTATTATTTAAAAAGTTATAATTAAATTGGTGCAGTTGGTGTATCAGATTTAGGTTCTGGTTTAGGAAAGTGCACTAAACTCTCTAATTTGACAATTAATCTAAGGTAAAAAAATTTTATTTGTTTTATATAGTGATATTTTTTAATATAAAAATGAACTTAAAATAATATAAATAACTCTTTTAATTTATTTATTAGCTTTTTATAAATTTATTTTTCTTTTTTTATCTCCTTGCGGTTATTATTTATTTATTTATTTGTTTATTAATTTAATTCATTTCTCAATTTCAACTTTTAACTTTTGTTTTTATATTAATTGATTTCTTAATATTTCATATTATTTTTGTAATATTTCGTTTCAACTAACTAATTAACTATTTTGTTTTTTTCTATATTTAAAAAGGGAAAATCAAATTGGTAATAGAATAGAATAGAAATACTCGCACATATAAATGCACTCAGAATACAACTTAAAATAAAATTTTATTATATTTATAATATATTTCTTTTGTTTTATTATGTATTTATTAGTTTTACAAGTACTTTAAAAATCTTATTTTTAATTTTCCTCTAATTTATTTGATTTTTTTTCTTTTAGTTTTTATGATATTTTTTCCTTATTTATTTATTTCTTTATTTGTTTTTTATTTTCAACTTTTGCTTTTATTATTAATTTATTTATTTAATATAATTTCATATTTATCTTAATTTTCTCCTTCTAACTAACTAATTAATTATATATTTTTTATCCAATATTTAAAAGGGAAAATAAAATTGGTGATGATGGAGCATCAGGATTAGGTTCTGGTTTAGGAAAGTGCATTAATATCTCAAATTTAACACTTGATCTTTAGTAAAAACAGTTTATTTGTTTTGGATTGTTATATTTTTGAATATAAAAATGAATTTAAAATAAAATAACTAGCTCTTTTAATTTATTTATTTAATTATTAGCTATTTGTTTGATTTATTTTTTCATTTTTGTTCTAATTATGTTTTTTTTATTTAATGTTTTGTTTATTTGTTAATTTAATTTATTTTTTCACTTTCAATTTATACTTTTATTTTTAATTCATTATTAATTTATTTCTTATTATTTTTCACTTTTTCCTTCTAACTAACTAATTTAAAATATATTTTTTCTTCAATATTTTAAAAGTTACAATTAAATCGGTGATGAAGGTGCAACAGGCTTAACCTCTGGTTTAGAAAAGTGTGCTAATCTCTCAAACTTAACACTTCATCTTTAGTAAAAAAAGTTTATTTGTTTTTGAATTTTTCCTTATTAAAATAAATTTAAAACTATTACTAACTAACTAACTCTTTTAATTTTTTATTTATTAATTATTTATTTGATTTGTTATTCTTTTTTTTATTCTGTTTGTGTTTTTATTCATTTATTTATTTCTTTGTTTACTAATTTAATTCATTTTTTCATTTTCAATTTTTGCTTTTATTCATTATTAATTTATTCATTCTTATAACCCATCATTATTTACTTCTAAGTAACAAATTAACTAAATATTTTTTCTTCAAAATTTAAAAAGTCACAATTAAATTGGCGCAATTGGTGCATTAGGTTTAGGTTCTGGTTTAGGAAAGTGCACTAATCTCTCAAATTTGACACTTCATTTAAGGTAAAAGCAATTTATTTGTTTTGGATTGTTATATTTTAGAATATACTATGTATTTAAAACTAAAAAACTAGCTCTTTTAATTAATTAATTTATTTGTTATTTTAACTCATTTTTTTATTTTTAACTTTTGCTTTTATTTTTAATTTATTGCTTATTATTTCATATTTTTCTTCATTTTTTTCCTTCTAAATAGCTAATTAACTATTATAGTTTTTCTTCAATATTTTAAAAAGAGAAAATGAAATTGGTGATGAAGGTGCATTAAACTTAGGTTCAGGTTTAGGAATGACCACTAATCTCTCAAATTTGACACTCAATCTAAGGTAAAAACAGTTTATTTATTTAGGATTGTGAACATTTTGAATATAAATAAAAATTAAAAAAAAAAATAGCGAAAACTTTAAATTTATTTATGAATAATATATTCGATTTATTTATTTTTTTTCTATTCAACATTTATTATTTATTTATTTCTTTGCCTATTTGTTAATTTAATTCATTTTTTCATTTTCAAATTTTTATTTTACTATTATTTTTAATTCATTAATTAATTTCTTATTATTTCATTTTTTTTTTTTGCTTCTTGCTAACTAATTAACAATATTTTTTCTTCAAAAAAGTGAAAATTAAATTGGTGACGAAGGGGGATCAGGCTTAGGTTCTGGTTTACGAAAGTGCACTAATCTCTAAAATTTGATACTTTAACTTTGGTAAAAATAGTTAGTTTATTTGTTTAGAATTGTGATTTTTTAAAAATAAAAAGGAATTTAAAACAATTTTACAAACTAACTAACTAGTTAACTTATTTAATTAATTTATTAACTTTCTTTTTATTTTTGATTGCTCTAATGTTTTTTTCTTTATTAATTTAAAACATGATGTTTAATTAAAAGATTTTATTTTATTTAGTAATTTACACTAATTTATATTAAAAGGGACAACAAAATCAACGAACCATATTAATTGAAAGTAAAGTGTCTCAAGTCAAAAAAATTAGTTACCTTAGAAATAATATATAAGTGATAAAAAAGGGGTTAAATAAGACGAAAAAATAAAAATATACTTTGAATACTTTTATTTAATTTACAAAAATTTATATTTCTAGAGCATAAAATTACATAAAAATAAATTTATTTTAATGGCTTTTAATAAAAATTATTTCTTAAAATTTATATTTTCCTCAATAATATTATTGCATCTATTTTGCCAAAAAAATATTTATATTTTGATTTTAAATTATGTTTTTTAAGTCTACTGTATTCTTATGGATTAATTTTAATTTTATGATATTATAACATACAAGCAAAATTTAGTTAGTAATCATTGAATCATATTTTACTTATAATTTATTAGAATATTTTACATCTATTTTAAATAATATCAGATTAAATTTTTTTTCTTTCTTGTTTCTAAAAAGCAAAGGAAAACAATTAATTATCAAAAGAAATAATAAAAATACATTCAAAATATCTCTTCTCACTCTAATCTTATAAATGGATAATACCACCTAAAATCTGAAATGCAATAAGCATCCAAATAAAAACCATGAATTTATTTAAATAAATGATGTCCTAACTCAACAAATCTCCACTAATCCTCTCTTTTACTGCTCTTCCTGCTTTAATAATGATCTTAACTTTAAATCTATCAATTATCTTATGATCGAGCAGATTATTTAAGAAGCAGACACTTAAATTATCCCAAAATGGCCGCCAGTCAATGATTATCAAATCATCTCAGATCTCTTTGATCTTTCATAAAAATAATCTTCACTTGGCTGCGTCAAGCAGATCACAGACTTCTTTGATCAATTAAAAGAAGAGTTTTTAAATAAAATAAATCTCATCTAAAAAAAGATGATCAATGAAGCCTTGAAATATCCTGATGATCCATAGCAAATCCTCAAAAGATATTAAGAAATCTCAAACATTCTTTAGTTTAAGTAGCTTCTTAACAATGAAAAACTAAATAACATCCAAGATCATTCAATTCTTTGTAAAGAATTTATCTCAAAAATGGAATCTCAAAAAGATAAAAACACTGAGTTGTTGTAAAATCTACTTACCTAAGCAAATTAAATGCAAACGAATTTCAACATGGAATATCCTCACGTCATTAAATAGCAATTATTTACTCTTATTGACTAAATTTCTTTCTTTAATTTAGATATTACTGAACTCAGTAATACAAATCATAATAACACTAGAAATTAAATGGAAACTAATATTAAAAATCAAAATAATTAAATTGGAGATTTAAAAGTAACATCTGACTTAATCACTAATAGTTTTAATGACGAAAATGAATTTGAATTCTTCAGAAACTCCAAAGATATAAAATTGAATACTTCATTTGAGGAAAGCTTACTCAATTTAGATCTAAAATTGTTTGCAACTTAGTGGGACAACGGGTAAGCAAATTGTGTAATAAATAAAAAAGAAAATGGCTATTATGAAATTGAAAAATTAAATAATAATAAGTGGGTGAATTGTATATCAAATATAAATTTATAAAAAAATTAGAAGTATATTTTTAGGATAAAACTTGAAAGCCTAAATGAAGCTTATTTTATGATAGGTCTAATGAGGAATTCGAATGCTGATTCAGATTATGGATTTAGAGAGTATTTAAGCTGCTACTTATATCAAAGTAATCAATCTGTTATTAAAACTGGAGGTTAGGGCATTGATAAATAATTAAAGGGAGAAGGATTTACGACAAGCGGAGAGAATATGATAGAACTAAGATTGTGTTTGAAAGAATAAATTCTAGAAGTGTTAGATTATCCTAATTATGAATATAAGTTAGGATTAGAGGATAAATATAAAGAGAAGCTTTCATAATTTGATGATCTAAGATTTTATCTTGGCTTTCGTGATAAAGGAAGCAAATATATTTTGATGGATGTAAAAATAGTGAATGAGTTTATAAATTGAATCAAATTATATATATATATATAAATAATATGATTGATTTGATAGTAGGTTTTTGTTTTTCTTATTAAAATTTTAAAAATTAATTTCTAAAATTTTTTCAAATTTGACTAACTAACTAACAACCTATCTCTAATTTCTACCATATTTATTTTTTCGTACATATTTTAAATAGAAATATTAAGATCAAATAATTAATTTTAATTAATTTTTTTGAGTTATCTATTCATAAAAGCAAATGTATAAATTATTAAATTTTATTTGTTCTTTTAATACATTTAAAATTAATTAAAATTCCATAAATTGCTTTTAAATATAATTGAAAAAATAAATAAATGATATAATAGATTAAAGATTACAAAGAATTAAATGAAGTAATCATTTATTTTTTTAACAATATCCTTTAAATTTATTTCTATTATAAAAAAAGTTTCTATATTCTTCACTTTAATCTCATTAGGTTCTTCATATTGACTTGAGGTATATTTAATTTAAAAATATTATATTAATATTTTTTATATTATTTAAATTTAAATTTAATTTTTTTATAATAAAATAAATTTTTTAGCTATTTTTATTTAATTTTCATTTTAATTTTTAATTAATTATTTATTATTTAATATTTTTTCTTAATTTTTTGCAATTAACACTTCTTACACTTACTTGATAAAAACAGTTTATTTATTTTTGATTGTAATATTTTAATTATAAAATTAATTTAAAGCATTAAAGATCTTTTTATTTATTTTCCATTTTCTTTTTATTCTGCATTTATGATTGCTTTTTTTATTTCTTTGTTAATTTAATTAATTAATTTTATTATTTCATATTTTTTCTTCATTTTTTCCTTTTAAGTAACTAGACTTTAAATGCCTTTTTAATATTTAGCTTAAAAAAAAAATTAGATTAAATTTTTTAAATATTTGTTAATTTTTTGATGCTTTAAAAATATGTTTTAATTTCAAATTTGTTAATATTTCATTTATTTATCAATGAAATTAAGTAAATACATAGAAAATTCGAGAAATATCAATAGAAAAAAAATGAATTTGCATGTATTTTAATCAAAATTTAAAAATGTTTAATCAAAAATTAAAATATTCCCCAAAAAACTTGTAAATTATATTACTTAAATCAAAACATTAAATTTCACTTATTGTAGATCGAAATGGCATTTACTCAAATTAATTAATTAATTTTTTTACTTCAATATTTAAAAAGTTGCATTTATATTGAAGATGAAGATGCATTAAGGTTAGGTTATGCTTTAAAAAATTACATTTATCTCTCAAATTTGATACTAGATATTCCGTAAAAACACTTTATTTGTTTTAGATTGTGATATAATAATAAAAACTAATTTAAAACAATAATGCTCTTTTTTCTTTATCACTTTTTTATTTATTTCTTTGTTAATTTATCAAGTCATCATTTTTGTTTCTATTTTTGCTTTTATTATTAACTAATCTTTTTATTTCATATTTTTTCTTCGTTTTTTCCTTCTAATTAAATATTTTATTTTTTATTTTTTCTTCAAAATTTAAAAAGTCACTGTAATATTTCTTATGTAGGTGTATCAGGCTTAGGTTATGCTTTAGCAAATTGCCTTAATCTCTCAAATTTGACACTTGGCTTTTGGTAAAAACAGTTTATTAGTTTAGATTGTGATATTTTTAATTATAAAACTAATTTAAAACAATAAAACTCCTTTTTCTTTTTCTTTTTTTTCTTCTTTCTTTGTTAATTTATCAACTCATCATTTTATATTCAACTTTTGCTTTTATTATGAATTAATTAATATTATTATTTCATATTTTTTCTTCATTTTTTCCTTCTTATTTACTAATTAATTTTATATTTTTTCTTCAATATTTCAAAAGTTTTAATTGGTTTGGTGATGAAGGTGCATCAAGCTTAGGTTCTGCTTTAGCAAAGTGCATTACTCTCTCAAATTTGACACTTGACCTTTAGTAAAAACAGTTTATTAGTTTAGATTGTGATATTTTTAGTTATAAAACTAATTTAAAAAATAAAGCTCATTTTCTTTTATTTTTTTTCTTCTTTCTTTGTTAATTTATCAATTGAGTAAAAACAGTTTATTTATTTATTTAGGATAGTGATATTTTTATTGTTAAAACTAATTTAAAATAATAAAGCTCTTTTTTCTTTTTCTTTTTTTTCTTCTTTATTTGTTAATTAATTTAACAACTCATCATTTTATTTTGTACTTTTGCTTTAGTTATCAATTAATCTTATTATTTAATATTTTTTCCTTCTAATTAACTTTTTAATGATATATTTTATCTTCAATATTTAAAAAGTTAAAATTAAATTGGTGACAAAGGTGCATCAGGTTTATTTTCTGGTTTAGGAAATTGCATTAATCTCTCAACTTTGACACTTGACCTTCAGTAAAAATAGTTTATTTGTTTAGGATTGTGATATTTTTAATTATAAAAACTAATTTAAAACAATAAACTCTTTTTTCTTTTTCTTTTTCTTCTTCTTTCTTTGTTAATTTATCAACTAATAATTTTATTTTCAACTTTTGCTTTTATTATTAATTAATATTATTATTTCATATTTTTTCTTCATTTTTTCCTTCTTATTTACTAATTAATTATATATTTTTTCTTCAATATTTAAAAAGTGGTAATTAAATTGGTGACAAAGGTGCATCAGGTTTATTTTCTGGTTTAGGAAATTGCATTAATCTCTCAACTTTGACACTTAACCTTAGGTAAAAATAGTTTATTTGTTTTGGATTGTGATATTTTTAATTATTAAAACTAATTTAAAACAATAAAGCTCTTTTTTCTTTTTCTTTTTTTTTCTTCTTTCTTTGTTAATTTATTAACTAATAATTTTATTTTCAACTTTTGCTTTTATTATTGATTAATCTTATTATTTCATATGATAACTTCATTTTTTCTTTCTAATTAACTATTTAATTATATTTTTTCTTCAATATTTAAAAAGTTATAATTAAATTGGTGATGAAGTTGCATCAGCCTTAGGTTCTGCTTTAACAAAGTGCATTAATCTCTCAAATTTGACACTTAACCTTAGGTAAAAATAGTTTATTTGTTTTGGATTGTGATATTTTTAATTATTAAAACTAATTTAAAACAATAAAGCTCTTTTTTATTTTATTTTTTTTGTTCTTTCTTTGTTAATTTAACTCATTCATCATTTTATTTTCAACTTTTGCTTTTATTATTAATTAATCTTATTATTTCATATGATTTCTTCATTTTTTCCTTCTAATTAACTATTTACTGATATATTTTTTCTTCAATATTTAAAAAGTGATAATGAAATTGGTGACGAAGGTGCATCAAGCTTAGGTTCTGCTTTAGCAAAGTGCTTTAATCTCTCAAATTTGACACTTGACCTTCAGTAAAAATAGTTTATTTGTTTTGGATTGTGATATTTTTAATTATAAAAACTAATTTAAAACAATAAAGCTCTTTTAATTTATTTGATAGCTTTTTTTGATTTATTATTTTATCATTTTATTCCAGTAACATTATTTTATTGAAAAAATTTAAGAAATAATTTTAAATTTAAAAGTTTATTTTATTTAATATTTATTTAAATTTTACACAAATTTATAATAAAAGTTTTAACTTTGAAATAAATGAATAATAAGAATTAAAAGTAATAAGGAAATGTTTTAAGTTAAAAAGATTAGTTGTCTTTAAAAAATCATTCTGATAATATACAAGTGGAGGGAAAAGGATGAATAAATATTAAATGTTAGAATAATTGGATATGATATGTTTTATTAAATAATATATATTTTGAAAAAGTATTTTAACCTAAAAAATAGATATATTGATAGATTTTATTATTGTTTTTATATTATTAATATCATATTTTTTTAAGTAAATAAAAAATAAAAAAATTTAAAAATTAAGTTTACTTAAAAAAATTAACATGTATTTTTTAGAAAATATTTAGGGAATAAGATATGATTATATTTTAGTGATATTACAATATTATTTAATTAAATAATGTTAATATTTATTTTGATGATTTTTGTTATTAAATTGATTAGAATAGTATATAAATATAAAATATATAAAGATTGCTAATATATATAGTAAATAAATAAAATTTTATTAATTTTTGAAATATTTACAATTTTTAATATATTTATTTTTAAGTTAATTTATTTTATAATGTATTTGTTTTATTGAAGAACTCTTATTTAGTATATTTGTTAAATATTATTCATTTTTAAGAATTTTAGTTTACACTAAAGTACCTTCTTTCTAAGTCTTTAATTTTAAATTCGTAATTTTTTAAAGATTTTTATTGTCTTTGCTGAAGTGATCCAAGTATAAATTGCTGGTAGGAACTCTATTTGTTTTTATAAGAAGATAAATGTTAATTCTGATTATTTAGTGTTTGTTGTTTGAGAAATTTATTGAAAGTTAAAACTAAAGAAAATCAAACTACCATTTTGCTGGGATAATGACCTATGTTCTCTTAAGAGCCTAGAGAATAAGTCTTTATATTGTTAGCAGGTTTTTTTTCTAGCGAATCAAGAATATCAAGTTCTTTTTATAGCTTTTGTTGGTTATATTTTTATATTCTTTCTAGTTAATCAAGCCTTTCTAGAATTCTTTTCTTTTCTTTTTCATTCTTTTGTTGTTGCTATAATTTTATATAAAAATTAAAATTTAATTTAGAAGATTAATAATATAAAAATATTACTAGTAAGTCTTATTAGTTCATTTCAATAAATCCATTTTATATTTTGTATTCTTGTCTACCTTTGATGCGGATATTTACTGGAGTGTGACTGATTTGATTTATTCCTAAAAAACTATTTGGTCTTATTACGTTACTACTGCTAACATTGTCAATAACACTCTTGTTAACAAAGCTGTAGCTTTTTATATTTGTGTTATATTTTCCTAAATTAATACTTCTATCATTACTTGAATGAGAGTAAGGAAGCGAAGATCCAACTGAAAATTAAGATTTAATATTATTGCCACTGTATCTTTCAGAGTTATTCTTTATTAGAAATTAAGATAAATTTTTTGTGCTCCCACTAGCGTTAGCAGTTGATATGTGATTATCATTTGAAGTAGAATTTGAAATGCTTGGCAAAGATTTCACTGGTGAATCTATATCTTCAAATGATTGTATTTTATAAGAGTTAGAAAGATGCGTGTTGTCCTTTTGCATACTCTCTCTCATATAAAGCTGCTAAATTTCAGATTTTAAATGTCTATTTTCTTCAATAAGTTATTCTACTTGTTTCAAAGAAACATGATCTTTTTTGAGCTTTTCGTTTTCAGCTTATAATTTTAAAAATTTAGTATGAATATCATTTACACTTGCTCCTTTGCGCCTCATATTGAGGATCTCTTTTAGATATAGTATCTTTTTAATTAAAAACAAATAATAAGTAAAAAAATACTTAATTACTGGTTGAATTTTATTAAAAATCTATTTAATTACTTCTTTTTGGAGCTTTTTAACAATTTCGTCGTCTTTAGAATTAATTTGATTTGGTTTTATTGACATTGTAATCTGATGATTTATTTAAAAAAATATATATAAATTTTAGAGATATTATTATTCATATCAAAAACAAAAATACATGTCTCGCTCTTTCTGCGAACTTCAATGTGCTCACAGTTTCATCTAAATTATCGATCGACGGTGATATAGTTGCTACAATGTAAGTAATTGTATTTCCAATCAAGCTTTCTTACAAAATTCTGGTTAACTTTGACTCTCTGAAGGGGATAGGTAGCTTACTCTTGCTGCTTAAGCTATGAATTACCTTGCCTTATTTTTTTATATAGAAAGTAAATATTGTCTATTAAATTCTATAAAAAGCTTCAAAAAAAATAAATAATAAAGTGATATTTCTTCAAATTGTTTACCCAAGGTAGTCAACGATAAATTGATATTTCTTAATTCATTTAAATGGCCTCCAGCCATGACTTCACTTTTATTTATTTTTTCTGAACCAGCAAGATCGCAAAGATTAATCCTTGATCTCTATTTTTGAAATGTAAAAAAGATTAAATAATTTGTTATTTTGTCTTATTTTTATGAAAGTAAGTAACTAATTTTAAAAGAAATAAGTTAGTTATTAATCTTTTAATAGATCCATTTCTTTACTTCATACTGTAACATTATAATTCTAAAAATGTTATTTTCATAAAAAATTATTTTGAAAAGCATCAATTTTTCATCTCGATATTCGTATAAAATTTATTTTCTTTCCTTCTTATTTTAATTTGCTCTGATTCTATCGCTGAATTTATATTTAAAGTACCTTTTAGTATTTAATTCGCTTAAGAAGCAAGAGCAATTAATATATTTTAATCTAAAATTCATCTATCTGATCGATATTTATCATAAAAATCCAAAATTTTCTTAAAACTCCTAAAATTATTTTGGAAATTGTTCATTTTATTGATTTAAACTGATTAGGAATTCATTAAATTAACATATTTCTTGTATTTATAATAATATTTTACTTTTATATTTCCTCCATCTTGCTAGGATTCATCGAAAGTTTCAATAATAAGTTGGAAAATAGTGTGTGAACGACTACTTTTAGCGTTCATTGAGGTGCTTCTTATTGTTCTATTTCTTTCTCCTCTTTTCATGAGCTAGAGAGTATCTATATAGTGTAAGACTTAGTATTCCGATAGACCTTCAACAAATATTCCATCAAGCTTGCTTTCATGAATTCCTAATGGCTTGTTTAAGTTGTTATCCTAATCATATGAAACAGTTTATAATTGCGTTTAAAGTATTGAAAAATATTATCATCAATCAATTAATTAGATTGATTTTGTGGCTAAATTTTATAATTTTTGATAGAAGAAATGACCTTAATTATTTTGATAATTTATCTATCTGATTAACAATAGCCACTTAATAAATAAATACATAAATAACTATTTTTGACATAAATTAAAAATAAATATTAATTAAATTAATTACCTATAAAAGATCATATATTTTTTCATTGTAAATTTAAAGAAAAGAGCAATAAATCTAAATATTGAGATTACTATTTTCTTTCTTCTTTTACTCTACGCTATTAAAAAGATAATAGATTGTTCTAGGAATTATCCCTGCAAAATTCTCATCAGTATCCAATTACTCAAAGAATGTCTACTGCTTTTATACTCTCTCTGACTTACTTGTCATGTTTTCCCAATCACTACCAAACATCGTATAAGTTTTTCCTTATTTTAAATTTCAACAAATTCATTATTTATAACACTATCAAAATAATAAATAAATAAATTAATAAATATTTTTGCTTGTAATTTTTTTGAACGCATCAAAAACTCTACAAAGTATATCTTTAGAATTCCTCAAAATTAGTAGTAAGTAACAAGCTAACCAAATTTTTTATTAAGCAAATAAGCAAGAAAAGAAATAAATAGCTACCTGATCCAGTTTGCCCATATGCGAAAATAGTGAAATTGTAGCCTTCAAGCACCTGGGCTATTGGGTCTTAAAATTCCTAAAACACTTGGATTTAGGTGTCTTAAGAAACGAATGCTTTATCAAAATTGGTTTAAATGCTATAGTTTCCTTCATTTAGCACTAATAAATTATCCTATATTTAAAAAAAACATTTTTATACACTATACAAAAAATGAATAACAAATTCTATTAAAAAAATATTGCTACTGCTTCTATAAAAATAAAATTACTTGTTTGCTAATTTAAATAGAGCTCTCTTAAGAGCTCTCGCTTGGAAGTAAAGGGCGAGATCTAATAAAAACTTTAACTTTGCTATCAATAGAGAGTGATGGATTAGTAGAAACTGTTGAATCTATTAATGAATTATTCTATAATTTTCTTGATGCATCCTTTTTTTAAATCTAAGGAGTAGCTCTTCTCAAAGGAGAGGCTATATTTTCTTGTTGCTCGTTCGAAGTATTTAATGCTATTGAATTGCTTTATTTTTTATTACTATTTCTCATTTACTTATTTCTTTATTTGTTTGTTTGTCTCCTTGTTCCTAAATAAGCTATAGATAATGATTATTTGGCTTAATAAATTAATAATTCTAAAGTATGCTGCTTGACTAAATAGTTCTATATGAACAAACACTTTGTTTATTAATAAATAACTAGTTCTTTGGCTTGAATTTGATTTATTTTTTATTAATTGTTTTTTTTTTTAACTAATTTGTTAATATTTGATAAATTATTTATTAATTCATCAATCCCATTTCTGACTTGATTTTAATTTACTCCTAAAAGTCAATTAAAATAAATAGTATTTAATATTACATCAAGATAAATTTTCTAATAAAAACAAAATTTTATATCTACACTATTCAATTAATAAATAAATCAGCCAGTCAGTAAGTTAATGAATATATTCATTTATTTAAATCTATTAAATTTCTGCATTATTAAAAGTATAAACTGCACAAATTTATTAATTTGCATAATAGATTTTTAAAGATAGTAAAATAACTTAAATGATCTTTTTTAATTTTTCATTTATTTAAACTTAAAAAATACCAACTTTCTTGTCTTCTCTTACTCATTTAAAAATTTAAATCTTCTAATTATTATTTTTTAATGATTTTTTTCATATTTCTACTATGCTCATTATAAATCAATTTTAAAATGACAAATTATTTTCAAACACAAATAAAAAGTCACTAATAAATTGTACTTCAAGTATAGATAATATCTTTTTTTATTTATTTTTTTTAAATTATCAACTAATTTGTAACAAAAGAAATTAATAATAAATTTAAATATCATAAAAAAATATTTTACATTTTCTTTATCTAAGCCACATAAGATAAATAGCGCTGATAAACAAAATGTCACTTTTGAAATTAGATAACATTCCAAATAAAATTAAAGATATAAAGTAATAAAAAAGATAAACATTTTCCTCATTATTTAATGTAATATTTGATATTATATATAGCAATATGCTAATGAAAAATTTAATGGTTTAGATACCACTAAAAACAATTTGAAGTAGAAGGTTTTAAAAATAAATTTAACTTAAATTAGACTATTTGAGGTAGATGTAAAAAATTAGCTTTTTTTTATTTATCTAAGAATAAAATCATAAAAATTTTTGATAAGAAATTTATTGAATAATTATTCTTCTTGATGATTTTGTAGGTGCATGAATTTATATTATACTTCTTATTTTAATATATGTTTATTAACTAGTGTCTAGACATTAGCCAAGCTCTTTTATCTCATTTTACTGAAAGATTTATTTCTTCATTTATGAAACTCGTACAATAAATAGCCAAGATGTTAATAAAATGATAAATATTTTTTACAAAAAGTGACTTTTTTCAAATATTAATTATCTTTATATTTATCATTTGTCTATATAAAATAATTTGTAAAATTTCATTTATACTTTTTTACAGCACTTTCCAAATTTAGTTTGACATCATATTAAAATGTGTTTTTATAATTATAAAATTTTATTAAAACCAGAAAGCATACTTATTTATATAATTTTACAATACTTTCTCATGGAAATATTTGAGTTATTTTTAATTAACAAAATAGAGTGTTCCTTCTTTTGTTTCTTATTTTGTTGATTAGCTCAAATAAAAATTCCTATCTGATAAATATGGATATTAATTAGAATATAGACATACTATATAGATAGATATATTATTTAATTTATTAGTCGGAAATATTTTTCTTTATTTTAAAATAATAAAAAAAATAAAAATTGGTTCCTAATACAAAAAATAATGATTGAAATTAAAAATGATTATTTAGATTTATCTGAAAGTTAAATTTTTATGCTGAAAAACTATAAGAACTGTCCTAGTCATAAAAGATTTTTAGTATGTTTAAGATTAGACGATATAAATGACTCAAATATTATGAAGTGCCATATATGCTAATAGAAATAATAATTTAAAAGCTTTATAAATATCGAAGATTTACTCTAATGTGATGATAAAACTATTTTCGAAAGCTGGCCTATATATGGGCAAGATTAATTATAAAAAAAACTTGTTGAAACTATTGAATGGCAATATGAATTAAAATACAAAGAGATCGAGTAATTTTTCATAGATTTTGAAACTTAAGTTTACGATTTGTTGTAAGCTAAGAAAAAAGATATTTTAAAGAATCTGTAATAAATAGATGAAATAAAACAATAGCCGATTAATTTTTACAATTAAATATCCTAAAAAGAGAAACTTAAGGATATTATAAAAACCTAGTATGGTGAGTAACAAAAGCAGAATCAAATGATTTTAGATATAATAAAAGAAAATGAGATAAATTTTGAATCTAACTAAAAATAATTAGAAGATTTTATTTAAAAATCAAAATAATATAACCTTAATCTTGCAAGCACTCAAAAAATTAAGGATCAAGTTATTGCTTTAATAAACAAAATTAATGCAACTGAAATTTTTGAACATTAGGAAATTATCGAATAATCTAATGATATAAGTAGTATAATCAAATTATTTTAAAGTAACATTTTTATTTATTTAAATATAATTTTAATTATTAAAAATTAATATAAACAGGCTTAAAAAAACTTAAAATCACTTAATTTAAAGATTTATACAAATGCTCTAATTTCCAAAATATAGAAATAGATTTTAGGCAATTATTTATTTATTTAACAATAAAGATTCATTTATTTTTAAAAATTTTAATTTAAAAATTTATTAAAAAATTTGATTGAAATATTAAGATACCAATTTTAATATTTCTTCTAAATAATTAATTAATTAGTGGTTAAATTATTCAACTTGATAAAATTAAGTAAATTTCTTCAGCTTTGTAAAAATGTCAAAACATAGTTTGTTTAGCTTTAAATCTGAGGTATTTACTTATTTGCTTAATAAATATATTTATTTTTTTATTAAAAATTGTTTTAAATAAGTGGAAATAACCTTCAAGATTAAGGAGCTAAAAAAATTGTATAGGCTATTGAATATTTTGAGAATATCGAAGATTTAACTCTGAACCTTTAGTAATTAAATTATTTATAAATAATGAATTACTTACTTTTTAATATTTTTTTTAATGTAGAAAAAATCATATTGAAGCGGAAGGAGCAAAATAAATTGGAATAATCTTGCAAAATTTTCAGAAAATTGTAAGTTTGAAACTAAATTTTTCGTAATAAATTTAATAATAAAATAATTATATTCTTTTCATAAATTTACTCAGAATTAGTTTCTTTTTGATTTATTGATTGATTGATTAATTATTTTTATCTTATTATTGATAATTTTAATTTTGTTATTTTTAGTGAAAATTCTATTTAGGTAGATGGAGCAAAGAATATTGCAAACGCCATAGGAAGATATCAACATATTACGAATTTAACTCTAAATCTTTAGTAATTATTTGAAAAATGTTTGTTTATTCTTTATTTTTGAAATTTATTAATATTTATTTATATTTAGTGCAAATAATATTCAAGCAGAGGGAGCAAAGTAGATTGCCTAAGCTATTTAGAAATGCCATAAGATAACTCATTTAAATTTAGATCTTGAGTGATATATTTTTATAAAGTTATTTTTGTTAACAACTATTTATAATATAATTAACTAGCCTAAATAACATTTAAATTGAGGGAGCTAAATAAATTGGCTATGCTTTACAAGCATGCTAGAATATAATTAGCCTATCCCTTTATTTAAGGTTTCTATTTCAACAAATTTAAAAATTATTAAATAAATCTTTTCATTTTAAATTTAATTAATTTTTTATTTAGTGCAAATAGCATACAAGTTGAAGGAACCAAATAAATTGCAAAATTTTTAGAAAAATGCTCGAAAATAAAAGATTTAACACTAAACCTTTCGTAAATTAATGAATAAATAAATATTTAATTTATTATATTCTTATTGCATAGATAAATATGATTAACATTATTTATTTTTTATTAATTTTAGAGGCAATCATATCTAATCTGAAGGAGCTAAATATATTGCACAAGTTTTTTAAAAATTTCAACAAAATATAACAAAATTAGATTTAAATCTTTAGTAAGTTAATTTTTTTGTCAACCACATTAATTTAAAAATATTTTAGTTATATATCATATAATATTTTTTCATAATAAAGTGCAAATAACATTCAAGCAGAGGGCGTTAAATAAATTTGTTAGGCGTTAGAAAAATGTACGAATATAACTAATTTAACCCTTGACTTTTCGTAATTAATAAAATTAATTTTAATTTTTAATGATTTATACAATTTGATTTACCTAGTGCAAATAACATTCATTAAGAAGGAGCAAAATAAATAGCATTGTTTTTATAAAAATAACAATATATTAAAAATTTGACTCTTCACCTTTAGTAATTTTATTTTTTAATTTTATTTGTTAAAATTCATTTATAAATTTTTAATTTTAGTCTCAATAATATTCAATAAGAAGGAGCTAAATAAATTGGATAAACCTTAAAATATTGCTAAAATTTAACTAATTTAATATTAGGTTTCAAGTATTTCTTTATTTTCTTAATTAATTATTTATTTATTTTCTTAATTACTTACTCATCATTATTTTATTTTCCACACTTTATTTTAATTATAATTTTTTAGTATTTAATAAAAAATATTTATAAAAGAGGAAATTAAATATCAGAAGAGTATTAGAAGGAAATTTTATATTAACTATAAAATAATCTTAAAAATATTAAAGAATTGGAAATAAAATGATACAATTCAAAATAAATAATTTCATTTAAAATTTAATATTTTTATTTTTAGTTAGTAATTAAAGATGTTTTTTACTTAATTAAATGTGTTTTTGTTTTGAATTATTTCTCTTTAATTTCTTTTTTGTAAATAGTTTTTTTTAGTAATTAAATTCTTTATTTGTAGTCAATAATTGAATTATTTAATTTATGAAGGATTAGTTTTATTAAAATATATTTCAAAATTGAATTTAAGGACAAAGTTAATTGATTGATATTGATTGGTTAAATACTAAAAAAATATAATTGAATTAGATCAGCAAGAAGTAAATTACAAATGGTGTAATTTGAAAGAAAAATGATATAAATTAGAAGAATTGAATTTAAGGTTTTTGAATAAGATTGCCTAAGAAGTATAAAACGAACAAGAAGAGAACAAACAAAGATGAACAAATGAATTAGAGTTTAAAGACAAGCAATTAATGAAAAATGGATTTTTTGCTTATTGCTAATAATTTATAACGCAGTCAATCTTTGGTTGCTGCTAGCTCCTTGAATTTCAACTTAACAATCGTTTTATTCATTAATTAATTAAACAAACTCAGCATTATTAAAAGCAGTAGTTTTTTTAAATTAAATTTGTTATTTAGGTAAGAAAGGGCAGCTCATCTACCTAACATATTCTTGGTGGCCTTAGCACACTTGAAATCATCAGCAGGGTGACGATAGAAACTATTTATACAATAAAATATTGATACATGCTAATTTAAACAATCAATTTTATCATCTATGTAATCTATGTATGTATTATAACTGATTCTATTTCAAATACTTCCATCATAAAAAGAACAAAAATGTTTACCTGATAACTTTTTTACCCCAAGCGAATCTATTTTAAATTAAAGAGATTAAATATGTTATTTAAATAACTTAAAAAAATAAATTTTATCTGCTTTGCTTGATCGAATAATCAAGAAGTCAAGCAAACAAACAGATTGAAAATAAAAATTTTTAAATTATTTACTGAGTGGCAAGATAACCTCTCAAGTTGACGTCATCCTTAGCACCGGGAATGTAGTTGTGGGCTATTTTATTTTAACAAAAAATGAGAAACTTTGAATTATATTCATTTTAAATTGTTTCAAGCTTAAAATATTTTCTAATTTCTCTGTTTAATCAATGAATAAAATCTATACTTTCGGTTAATTCTTCGAGCTTTATTAATTAAAAAAATATATAATTTAAATTATGTTTTTCCTATCAAATTTTATAATAAATAATTACTTCAGTTTCAAGACCTCTGAAGAAATCGAAGTTTTCATGCATGAGGTAGTCCTTTATTTTATCAAATAAAAGTATTATTTTTGCTTATAAATAAATATGCAATTAATTCATGTTATATAGCAAGCAGCTTTTATTTGCTTGATTTTTCAATGCCTTGAAATTTGCATATTTTTCTTTTTTGGTATATGATAATAATAATAAAGCTGAGGAAATTCAAGGTACATTGGGGTCGTTGTATTCTTCAAGTTCGAAAAGGAACATGGTGTAGTCAGCGTAAGCATTCAACCAGATAGCAGCGTGGAAGGAGAGTTCGTTTTCCTGTAGAATAATAAAAGATTTTAGAAATATATAATTGAACTTGTTTTATCAATTTACAATATCGTCGAGAGCCTTAGAGGAAGCAGAACTGATTTGCTTGGAGATAGCATCAGTGTTGTATTGTTCCTTAATCAAAGATTCGTAGTTTTCCTTAACCTTATCAACCAAACCTTGGGTGGAGATGACACTCTTCCATTCATTGAAATCGATGGTCTTTTTTAATGAAAATAATATGAATAAGATGACATTAATTAATATCAAATATAATTTGCCAAAATAAGTTTTTTTAAGTAATTTCAATGAAGATTTTCATAAGAAATCAAATTTTATAAAATAAATTGCTTTCATTAGTGTTTTATGCTATTTCTTGATCTTTTATATAGATTTGCAAAAGATATTAAATAAATTCTTAGCTTTAGATATTTATTTATTTATTAATTTCTAACTTTAAACTGCTAAACGATTTCTATAAATTTCCTAATCTCATTTTTGCTAGTTATTCTAACTAAATAAAATTTTGCTTAGACTATTTGGCCAGTTTAAAAAGATATTATTTATTTTTAATATTTTTCATTCATTTTATGCTGTGCTTACAGGGATTTATTCAACGTGTTGCTTGTTGTAGAAACTGACAAGAGAAGAAAGTTGAGTGCAGTATGATCTAGATTCACCAGTAGTGGCCTTGTTGCTCAAGGTAGAGATCCACTTAAGGATTTTGTCTTGGTTACCAGCTATAATTTATAACATAAAATAACAATTAATATCTCACATAAAACTTATCTTATTTTATCAAAGCAAAAAGCAAAATCTTCGAACAAGCTCTATTTATTTCCTGCTTCATCTTAATTAATTCACAATAAATTATTTTTTCGATGAAAAATTATTTAAAGGAATCGCTAAAAAGCCGCTCTTTATCTACTAATTGCTATCTAAAATGTTTGCATCTTAAAACCTAACTTGCATCATAATAAAATTTGGTCTCTTGAACATAATATCTGAAAATTTAAATCTATAATTCATTTTAAGAGCTTATTTTAGTGATAATAATTTTGATGATATGATAGCTTCAAATTTAATAATTTCGCTTCTGCTTTTTGCTTGCTTTTTCATTTGAAGAAGTGCTTTTGCTTGATCAAATCAGGATGAATAAAAATCTATACGAGCTTAGAAAGAAGGGGTTTAAGCTGCAGTGGTGTTCTTAAGAGCTTAAGTCTTAACAACATTCTTGGCAATCTTAGCTAACATGGACATTTTTATATCTATTTTTATTTGATATTTTCTCCTTTTATTTTGTTTCTTAATTTTTTAATTTATTCAAAGATCAATCTTAATTAGATTATTTTATTAATTTTCCCTTTCTTTTCCTTTCCCTCTATGTTTATTTATTTATTTCTTTCTTCTTTCTTTCTTGGTTTCTTTCCTAAATTCATTCAATTTCCACACTTATACTTTTCATTCAATATATCACCTTTCTGTCATTCAATTCTCTTCTATTTGCCATACTCCAAAGAATGTATCTTCAATGCGTTCCTCTTCTTTCTTTAAAGTTGTTATTTCTTTCAAACAAAATCAGACTATTTATTTTATTTTATTTGTTTTGTTTTGTCTTTCTTTCTTAAATGCAATCAACCAGACATATAAACTTCAAATATTTATTTAATTATTGTATTGGATTCTTCATATATTCTTAATGAAATTTCTATTGCATCTCTTTTATATTTTATTCAAAAAAAATTAAAATGTATCTTTAAGCGTATCATTTTTATTGCATTATGCAATTTTATTATACAAATTTGCATTAAAAATAATGAGCCTTAAAATAAATAAATAGATAGTTAGTTTGTTTGTTTGTTTGTTTCATCATTAAATATTTAAGTATTTTTATCAAATTTACTATTTAAATACCTTATTAATTTAGTTTTATTGTATTCCTTTTTTATTAAAATAATAAATAAATAAAATATATTATTTTCAACAAATTTCTAAGCATTCAAAATCATTAAAAAAATTAAAGTAAAAAATAATTTAAGAAAGAAGATAAAATTAAGCAATTTAAAATGATAAATTTAATTAAAGAATAGTTAAATAAAATAAAAGAAAATCTGATTTTAATTTTGAGTTATTAAGATAATTTTGCTAAATTCTATTAGAATATTATGAAATGGCAAATAGAGTTATTTTATTACTGATAAATTGAATTTTATGATAAATTATGTTGAGGATATTTTAGATATGCAAATTAATACATTAAGAAAACAAATTCTACCAAGTTAAATTAACAAAAAAAATATTCTGATTTTATAAATATTTGTAAAAAAAGATTAATAAATATAATAAGTTTGTATTAATTAAGTAATTTAAAAAAAGATTAAATACAATATTGCAAAAAGTATAATGAACATATATAATTTAATATTAAAAATAAATTGAATATTGCAACACTAGATAGATGATTATATTAATAATAATTTAATGAATTTACAAATATATAGAAAGACTTTTTAGTAATTACATAATACAAAATGAATTCTTATTTAATGATCATTATCAGTTAAGTTTGATGATTGATTGAGATTTATTCATTTTTCTGCAGCAAAAGAGCATTTTATTTATTTATTTAGTTATTTATTTAGTTAGTTATTTTTATTTATTTAGTTAGCTTACTTTTGCATTAATTATGCAGAGTTTTGTTTTTGTTTGGAAGGTAGTTTGTTTGAAAGATTTAATGAATATAGAGAGCTATTTCAACAAATAAGTGATGATTAAATAAATTGTATTTTTTTTCAATAAATAAAAAGTTAGTTGATTGAGTTGAGTTAATTAACTAAGTTAATAATTCTTTGTTTAAGGATGGATTTTAGGTTATTTTCAAACTTATTTTTTTGTAATTTAATAAAATAATTTATTTATTTACTTTTAAATGTTTGAAATATTTCTGTTCATTTAGTTTTTTTTATTGTTTTTATTTAAAAGCATTAGTTGTTACTTACTTTCAACACATATATACACACACACTCTCTCTCTGCTTTAGTTAAAATCATCTTTCGTATCAAAGCTCTCACTACATTTTTTAATCGTTTTGATTTGTTTGAAGGATGTTATTGTGAGTTGGATGAGCTAAGTTAATGTTTTGTGTTTTATTTTCTCCTCCTTCGTGGACTATATATTTGGTGTTTGCTCCGTTCAATAAATTGTTATTTATTGATTCATCATGCTTGGTCAGCAGATTCTACATTGGTTGCTGAGAATAAAAGTGTGGATTCAAAATTTATTATTGATTTTATTAGTTATTCATGCCTTATAATTATTGAGATTACAATATATTGTTACCGTTATTCTAACCACTGCCATTGTTGCTTTTATTGTTATTCATATTGTTTTGGTTTGGATTTATCAAAATTTGGTTTTAGTTTTGAGGTTGTTGGTTGTGAGGAACTTAGTGCTGGTTTTGATTTTACAAAAGAACAGAATTGATTCCACCTGGATAATTTTGTTAGGCATTTGGGTTTTATTGCATATCTTGATCCAATTAGTTTCCTACTTGCTTTTAGAATGGCTATTGAAGCTATTACTACATTGAAAATTGTTAGTATTGCTAGTTCATCAAGTTTAGTGATTCATCTTAGTTTAGAGATGGGTATTTGTCAGCAAGAGAGTTTAATTCTAAATAGGCTTTATTAAAGTTATTTCCAGAAAAGAGTGAGGCATTCAAGAAAGGATTTGAGGTGTTGTAAGGAGGTAATGAATTTTTAATCTTATCTAGATGAGGTGATTCATTGATTTTGCCATTTAAAAAGTTAAAAATGCTAGGGTTAGAAGTAGGATTTTGGAAGTTTCCACTCTTTGGAACTAAGAAATTATGTGAATTACTACTGATCCTTTGTTATAAAGCAGTATTTGAAATACTTGGTTGTTGATATTACTGCTACAACAAAAGCTATTCTAAGAATCCTTAATTGTTGCTTGATTGAAAAAGTAAGCCATTGTTTGAGTTAAGTCCTGATTTTGATGAAGGTCTGAAAGATTTTTTAAGTTGTTGCTGTTGTTGTTGTTGTTGCTATACAGATTATTAATTTTATTGTTGCTATTACTATTGTTGTTATTACTGCTATTGCTGCTATTGTTATTGATGTTGTTAATTTTGACCAGGCTGTTGCTATTGTTGCTAGGAGCTATTATTTTGTTGCTAGTTTTGATTGTTGATTTGTTGATTTTACTAAGCGTTATACATATCGAACTGCTACTATTAATTCTACAATAAAGAGTTATTAGCAAATTAAGGAGAAACTTGTTACACCAAATTCATAAAATTATTTGAATTGCTATATAATTGGTTGTTTAAGAAATTTTAAGTATTTCCCATCACAGCAGCAGAAGGGTCAGTTTATTATAAAGTATTCAATATATCGAAAGGATTTTGAGAGACTTAATTTAGTTCATTCTACATATTTTTAATAAGATTTTGATTCATTATAGAGGGTTAATTGATACCACCTCCACTGACAACAAATTATTGAAGTTACTATTTCATGTCTTCCTAAAGTTTCATTCCTTAGATAGTATTTTAAGTCAGCAATTACTGATTCAAAATATTTCCCATATTATTATTTTGAGGATTTTCAATATTGTTTCCGCTGTTTCCTTTTTGTGTTTGATGAATCATATTTTGCTAAAAATTCTAGTTTGCTCCCATTATATTTGGCATATTAGGCAAACCACTCTAGTTTTAATTAGGAATGTGATGATATTGCTATTAATTAATTAAATTAGAGTTTTTATTGCTATCTGAAGTGACATTTGGTGCTTGGTTGGGTGCTGCTTATCCTCCTTCCATGAAGGTGCTCTTTAAAACCTTTATTTTAAACAAGCAATTAGCAACGCTTTCAAAAAACTTTATTAAATAAATGATTACATGCATGCTTTGTATAACAATTTTATTTTCAGGAACAGAAATAGTAAGCTATTTTTTAGGTTACGGCTTTGCCTTCACCGCCAAATTATTGGTACTATTTATTTCATTATTTCTGTGGGCACTTTTCTTACTAACTGAGTTAATATCTGACTTTGAATTTTGGCTCATTTCTTCTTCGTCTTCTTCTCCCTATTTATTTACATTTTAATCTAATCAAATTTAATCTTAAACCCAATATTTTATTTATCTCATTTTGCTTTCTTTTTCCTAAAAAACTATCGCTGTCATCTTTAAAACAACTAACTAACTAAATAACTAATAATTAAATCATTACATTTTCAGACTCATCAATTTAATCCATCTGAGATTCCTCACCATCTTCCTTCTTGATGTCTGATTGCTTCTTTTTGTTTCTCATGCCAAAAAAGTTTGGGTACTTTTCATAATTAATGAAAAATGTATAAATTTTAATACTCAACATGATTATTTTCTAAAATAAGTTATAAATGATGAAATGCTATATTTGAATCATTTAAGCGTAGAGCTTTTCAGAGGACTCTAAATCACAAATATATCTCATAATTAATTACATCGTCTCTGGTGAATGTGTAGACTTTCTTGTATGGATGAGTTTTCGAAAACTCTTATGCGACGCTAGCATCTGGAGAATAAAAATTAATGAGGTTTCCATAGACATCTGTGAATGCAAGACATACTTGTATGTTGCAAAGCATAGAAAGTTCAGCCGCCTTTTTAAGCAAACCGCTCTTCCTTTTATTGAAAGTTATCTATAATAATACATAAAATGGTTATCATAAAGCTAGTTTGTTGTTATAAAAGCACAAATTTAAATTTATTTTTAGAAGTTTTTGAATTATTCTTAAAATGTAGCCTTTTCAAATTAAACCTATTTGGCGATCAAATTAAGTAAAAATATGAAGAAAAAAAATATAAAGCTGTAGAACATTTATTTAAATAAGCTATAAGGCTTTTCGAGCTTTAGTTGTTTATGTTTAGCTAAAATAATTTTATAATAAAATATTACATTTCTTAATCTATCGTCTTTGATAGTCTCTATTGTAATTTTTTTACGGCCCATTCTTTAATTATGAATTAGCTATAAATAGTAGTTTGAATCCTTTTTTGTTTTTCCTTTTCTAATTAATTAATTTCTTAATCAAAGCAATTCTATTTATATTTATTATATATATAAATATATTATGTACTTGCATGAAATTATTTTGCTTATTTCGCTGTTCCTTCCCATAAACCTAGCCAATCCTTTTTATCTAGTCATTGCCAACCTAAAATCTATATATCTATATATCTATCTATTTATCTAATAATCTTCTTTCGCTTCTATTTATCTATCTCGATCACTTAGATTAACAAGCAAACATATTAATAATTAAACTAATAAACAAATAAATAAATAAATATTCATCACCTCTAATTTGAAATTTATCCATTTACTTTCTTTCTTAATTTATTTTTTTTCATCACTTCTATTTAAAATCGACATTTTAGTAGCATTTTTAAAAATATTATATATGTACATACTTATTTATTTATTTACCTTTCAATCATTATTTATTCACTCAATACTATTTTTATTTACTGTATGTAAAAATACATAATGAAGTTTATAATTATTTGCACTCATTTAATTTAGTAAGCAATTATTGCTAGTATTTTCTATTATTTTAATTTACTCACTAAGTTTTACTTTATTCTAAATTCTATGCATTTTCTTTATTTTATCTATTCTATAAAACTCATTTTTTTTGTGTCCATTTCAATTTATCCTGTATTCCATTCAACCTGCCATTTTTTTTATCATCGTTTTGAAATTAATTTTCTACTTTAATTAAAATTTCTATTTCAAACTTTCCTTTCAATTTCCGATTAACGACAAGCCAAATAAAATAAATACAAGAAGCATTAACTATTTCATATAGAATAAAAAAAATAAATCCAGTAAAAAAAGTTCTTAAAATATAAAGAAAATTGCTAAAATATTTTATTTTTTCCTTAAATACTTTTAAATTTTCGTTAACTTAGAAAAAATTTTTCATAAATATATATTTTTTTGCATGCTTTCAAATACAGATGGCATGACTTATACAAAGTAAATTAGTAGATATCCAAAATAATTATAAAATCAGCATTTAAAGTATTTGTTTTGCTTAAAATACTAAAACTCCACGAATTAAAATATATCGAAGAGCACTGTGATGCTAAATATAGCATTTTTTCTGAATTAAATATCTATTGAATGAAACAGATTAATCCATAAAAAAAATATATTTTGTTTCAGTAAATCAATCTTATTAAATTAAAAGTATAAAAAATACTAAACTCACTCATAAACGATTACTACTTATTTCATATTTTATATCTCAACTCAAACAAAATCGAAGATAGCAATTAAAAGATTTAATTGTAGAAGTTTATTACATTATAAATTAAAATTTATTTTTTAATTTTATTCAAAATATAAATTTTTTAAACAAGGGAGCAAAATAAGTTAATTTTTTATATTAATATATCTTCTATTTAATTCATTTAAATATAATCAACCAACAAAAAATATATAAATTGATATTAAAGTAGAATCATAAACAAATTATACAATTTTAATGATGTATTTTAATTTCAAAAAATTTATTTATAATTTAAAATTTTTTTAATATTTTAGTTAAATACAACCTCATTTATTTATTATTATTATTCTTAAAACAATTAAAATTATTTAAATTAATTAAATAAGTACTTCAGTAGAAAGTTAGAGAGAGTTTTTATTCTAAAAAATGATAATATAATTTAAAAATAAATATATATATATATAATTTGAGGGTCACTTAACATATTTAGCTAAAAAAATTTATAAAAAAAGAATTATTTTTAAATTTCAAAGAGTAAAAAAATAATTTATTTATTTATTTTGTTATACAGTCAACAATTTATTAGTTAAATAATAGTAAATTGTTATTGACTTTTAATATATGTTTGTAAAATCTATCTAAATAAAATTAGTTTTTAAAAAAAAATAAATTGATAAATAAGATAGATATTAAATAAATTAATAAAAATCAATTTTTAGCCTGAAATGCCAGAAATCAAAATAAAATATAGATAAATTTAATAAAAGATGTAATCATTTGGATAGTGAATTCTTATTAAATAATTAATTTTTAGTCCTTAAATTGTTAAATGAATTTATTAAATGATGTACCAATATTTTAAAATAGAAATGTGTTTATCTTATTTTAACTTACGAATTTTTATTATTAATTTATTTTAAGTTTTTTTTGCATATTGATTGATTCATTTTTTATCTAAATTTAGGCATAGATATTTTTTATTTAGATTCAATTTAAAGGTATTTTTTAATGAATTATTATTAAATAGACAAATTATTATTAGATAGATAAAGATATATTTGCATAAATAAATAATACTCTTATCATTAAGATATAATATTTCTAGTGGTAATAGAAATGTGAAAAATAAGACTTAGTTCTACTTATTTTTTTAGGTCGCATTAAATAAATATTTCTTTTTTTTTTGTATTTCGCTTACAAAATAAAGTTTTTGAATTTTGATTAATTCCTATTCAAAAAAATTCAAATTATTGTTATAAATATTTTAAAATTTAGCATTTGGTATATTTTGTGTAAGTTTTAAGCAAATTGAATAACAAATCAGATTATAAATAAGAAATTAAAAATGATATAAAAGGTATTTTAAGTTATATTTTTTACAAATTACATTTTAGATTATTTAAAAATTTTAAAATTATATTTATTTATTATAGTAGTTAAGTAATTTATTTAGATTATTTTTCATTTTTACTCATTTTTCAAGAGCTTTGTTAAATTTAAATGATTGTACTTACAAGGCCTGATGTACCTCCTAGGAGACCGAATATAAAACTCAAGCCGCTTAGAATATAGTATTTGTAGTGAGTATCAAGGACAGAAATGTTGGGTGGTTTCACTTGAATAGTGTCTTTTTCAATATCTCCATTTTGAATTGCGTTAAGAATAGATTTTTGTTTCTTAACAGCTTTGACATAAAAAATTAATGGACAGATGTAAGTGAGAATAGTGCAGAAAATACATCCCAAAATATTGAAAACGTTACTAATTTAATTAACGTATTGAGCTAAAAAGGTGAAAGAAAAAAAGATTACAGATCTTAACGCAACTTTTTGGAATAAATTCATGCATTTAGTAGAATTTTTGAGCATGTATTTTTGGATCATACTATCTAAAAATTTAACTACAGTAAAGACGTATAGTAAAATACTAGCTAAAATGGAAAAACTATAAAGGAAATCTAAAGCAGTTCCAACGCCTCCCATAGATCCAATATTTTAGAAGATGACTGCTTATGTGTCTGCACCAAAGGCAATATAACCCATCATACCAACAAAGATACCCAAAAGAGTGAAAATACATAAATAATATCTTAATACAGAGTCAAACTGGTTTTTGTTTTTCATTGAAGCATGAACTTCAGTGTACATGCCATTGACATCATAAGCAAAGGAGAAGACACCAAATTGCAAGGGTATTTATGTAAAATCGAATTGGGTTAAAGAAGAAAAATTTACGTTAGTTGTATCAATTACTTCACAGGATTTACCAATAATAATGATTAAAGTGATGATTGTAGCAGAGAGACCGAGATAAGTAAATAAAGAAAGTTTGTCTATGTTCTTATACATTGACAATGGAAGATAAAAAGCAAACATGATAGCCATAATGACCATATTGTTAGGAATTATTGGATTAAGTGTTTGATAGATAAAAATGCTGTAGGCAAAACATGAAGAGTAGGCATAAATGTATGTGCAAGCTTACAAGAAAATTAAGAAAGATTTCCCATATAATTTGCCACCAGTTGCTTCAAGAGTGAGGTTTCTATTAGTAGGATCTTTAGTGTCAGTGCTTTCTTGGAATCTTATGATTTTGCTGATTAAAGACCAACAGAAGTAGCTAACAACAGCACAAATAATCATGAAAATAATGCTTAAACCAATACCACAAGCTTAGAAAGTGCTTGGTAGAAAAAGTATTCCAGTTCCTATTCCTCCCTTTAAAATGCTAGCAGTGGCACTTAAGACTGTGCCTTTAGGCTAATCTAACGAGTCTTGTACAGAGTAATTAGTTTTTTGACTAAGCTATTTCTCTTCAGTTGATGGAGTATCATTAATTATGCAATTTCCAGATGTTTGTTATTCAGGAGATTAGCCTACAGCAGGTAGAGATTATTGTTATTCAAGTTGAGGAGAAGACATTATTTTAGAAGTAGTTAAAAAGTTAAGTTCTCTTATAGATTTTTAGATTCAATTTAAAAATTAATTAAATTAATTGGATTTTTAAACTTTTTTTAGCTAGCTGATTACTTTAATGAATGAAGGACAATTATTTTATTTGTGAATTTAATTTTTACATATTTTTGAAACATAAAAATGCAGTATAAGTAAGAATCTTCATCTACATTCTATTTTATTAGGTATTAAATTTATAGATATATCTAAACAGTTAATCATTTAGTAGTGCAAGAAACTACTAGAACTTAACTATAATTCCGTCGTAAATTTATTAACCTTAATACAATGTAAATAATTATTAAATGTTGTATTACAAATCTTTAGATTTCTCAAAAAATCCGCCTTGTAAAAGACGAATTAAAACAAAATATATTTTTGCATTTATAAATAAATAAAAAAAATTTATGAACAAATTCATATTGAAACATTTTCATTAATTGTTGGATCAACTAAATTCACCTAAATTTCATATTATTTCTATTAAAAGACAAAAACCTTAATTAAGTAGCATAGTTCTAGCAGCAAGAATGATAATTGACTGAAATTCGTCTTTTGACATACATCATTACAATTTTAAATTAAACTAATTAAATGCGTCACTGATTATTTGTGTATTAAGAATAATTTATGCTATTTGATTTTACATAGTTGTCATTTTAATTTTTTAATCTCTACAACTAAATGTGAATCTATAAATTTTTTTAACTTAACTTTGCTAAAATAAACATTAATCTATGATAAATTCTAAGAAATTAGTCTAAAGTAAGATTTGGAAAAAATTTCACCTAATAACAAAGACAATTTAATAATTAAATAAACCTTTATTAATAAAATAATTGAATTTAATTCACAATTAATTTCAATTTGATGAAATAATACACTATAAAGAATAAATTAAATAATGATAAATAGATTACATAGAATATTGCTTGAATTCGCTATAAATATAATTGCTTCAGTTGGATCAGTTGGAAAATTGTAAGCCAATAAATTTTAAACGAAGACGAGAATGTTTATAAAAGAATTAAGAAAATATTTACATAAAAATAGATGTCGTATTCAAATTAAAAATTTGTTTAATTGATGAAACAAAAATACTGAATTAAGATTTAGCGCATTAAGTTAATTAAGTCACCTATAATTGATAAAGAGCTAATTGACTCAATTTATTACAAATTATTTATTATTTTGATATAATTACATAATTATATTTAATTGTTAATTCTTTTATCAATACTCATTTATTTATTATTAAGTCTTTAAATTACAATTTTCAGCAAATGTAATTTTACTAGCAAATTTCTTTCTTAATTGTCAAATTATTAACTTGAAAAGATACCAATCTTCATTCTTAAAGTTTCAATAATCCTTCTAAATTTTCAAATATGCAAAGCCTTACATTAATCTATAGAAAAATGTAACCTCACAAAACTTTGATTTTTATTTTTAGATTTATGGTTGAGTCATTCAATTTAATAAATGCTTTAAATTCACATATCATTTATCATAAAAATGTATCTTTACAAATTTTTAAATATATTTCGTAAATAATAATCAAACTACCATTTATTTTTTAAATTTTGGATATGATGTTTCGATCTAGTTTTAAGCTTTCTTCAATCGAGCCTATTTTTTTCTAAAAAAAAACAAAAGCAAATTTATTTATAAAGAAAAATAGTTTTTTCAAAATATCATGATATCTTATCTAAAAATTTAGTAAAATTATTTTCATTTTAAAATTTAATTAGATTATTGATTTAAATGCTAAATATGCAATTTGTATTTTCTTGCTTTTTAAATTAATAATTCTATTTTTCTGTTAGATATTATTAGAATTTCAAAATTGCCTATTACACTTTCTGATTTCTTCTTAAAATAATTTTTACTGTCATAAGTAATATCTTTTTTTGAACTATTTTATTAAAATTTTTAATATATTTTAGACTTGATTTTAAATAATAAATCTCAAAAATAAATAAATGATTTCTTTAATTTATTTTTAAAAAATTTAAACAAAATATCATGGAACATAAAAATAAATAGATTAATTTTAAGTAAATTAATTTACCTAATTTATGAATAATATTTTTTTTTCTATCCATAATTATCTTTTTTGTTTTTAAAAGAAATTTATTTAAATTGAAATTAGAATAAGATCAAGTGAAATATTTAGATAATTAGAAGGTTTGTTACAAGACTTATTTCAAAACTTTTATGATTTAAAGTAATATTAATAAATCTAATTAATAGATTTGAAATATTGAATTTTTATGAATTTTTTATATGAGTAAAATTTATAAATCTACTATAAAAATATATTTAAATCACAATAAGAATACATACTTATTTGATATGGTAATAATTTTTATCAATTTGATTAAGAATCTATAATAAATTATATACTTTTAAGATAAAGATTTGATCAAAAATATCTACTTATATTCGATTTATATTATTAATAATACAAAAAAATGTATTTCAGGATCCTTGCTATATTGAGATAATTGTACTTACTAGACCAGAAATACCACCTAGGATTCCAAAAATAAAGCAAAGTCCACTTAAGATGTAGTAAATGTAATGAGTGTTTAAGAAGGCGATTGATGGTTTTGATTCCTTTTGATCATTTTCTACATCTAAACACTAAATCTTTTTTATGATGTTATTTTATTTTTTAACTGCTTTAATGTAAAGAAGTAAGGGACAAGCATAAGTTAAAATGGTACAGAAGATACTTCCTAAGATGTTGAAAACATTGCTAATTTGGTTTACATATTAAGCTAGAAAGCTAAATGAGAAAAAAACAATAGCTCTGAGAGAAACTTGCTAAAATATAATTAAACTCTAAGTAGAGCTTTTGATAATGTATTTACTAAATATTTAGTCAAAAAACTTAACTATTGTGAAATTGTAAAGTAAAATATTTGCTAAAATAGATAAACTGTAAAGGAAGTCTAATGCTGTGCCAACTCCTCCCATAGATCCAATATTTTAGAAAATGACTGCTTATGTATTTTCTCCAAAAGCTATGTATCCCATAGTTCCAATAAAGATACCTAAGATAGTAAAAATACTTAGGTAGTATCTTAAGACATAATTAAATTAGTTTTTATCTTTCATCTAAGCATGCACTTCTGTATATACTCCGTTTACATCGTATGCAAATGAAAAAACACCAAACTGTAAAGGCAGCTGAGTAAAATCGAATTTTGTTAGAGAGGCAAAATTTACGTTTGTAGTGCTAATCACATCGCAAGATTTACCTATGATGATAAGTAAAGTAATAATTGTGGCACTAAGACATATATAAGTGAATAGAGAAAGTTTGTCTATATTCTTATACATTGATAAAGGTAGGTAGAATGCAAACATTATTGCCATAGTCACCATGTAGTTTGAAATAAATGGTTAGAGAGTCTAATAAATAAATATGCTATACCCAAAGCAAGTAGAATAAGCATAGATATAAGTACAAACTTACAAAAAAACCTTAAAACTTTTTCCATATAATTTTCCAGCAGTATCTTCCAGTGTTAGATTTCTATTTGTTGGATCTTTAGTGTCTGTGCTTTCTTGGAATCTTATAATCCTGCTTATTAAAGACCAACAAAAATAGCAGACTATAGCACAAACTACCATGAAAATAATGCTCAGACCTATCCCGCAAGCTTAAAAAGTGCTAGGCATGAATAAGATTCCAGTTCCTATTCCACTCTTTAGAATGTTAGCTGTAGAACTCAAAATAGTCCCTTTACCTTCCTAATGTTAAGAATTGCTATTTTTTTCAGTAGATTATTCGACTTAAAGAGTCTCTTTTTCATCCATCACATAATTTGTTGATGATTATTTTTATAATTCTGGTTATTATTCAATCTTAGGAGAAGATTCTGTCTGTTAGGCTTATGGAAAAGACATTTTATATTAAAAAAATTCGATTTTGAGCTTTTTTCTCAAAATGAGTTTTGAATGATGAAATTTTATTTTATTTAGATTAATTAACATTTTTTTGAAAAAAGAGGATGCATATATATAAATAGTAGTCCTATTTTTATTCTTTTTATCTTCAAATATTATAATAATTAATAGTACTATCTTTTATAATTAAAAGCAAAACCTTACTAAAAAATAAGAAAGTACGCAATAAGGTACTAGAATTTAACTATATAAAATTGCTTGTTTTCAAATTAAAAAATACAATAAAGCAATCAAAAACTCCAAAAAAAACAATAGTCTATTAAATAAAAAAAAGTCACCAACATTAATTTAATATAAATTAACATATCTGTCTAAAAATTAATAATTTTTTTCAATTTTGTTCAAAGACCAATTTTAATACCATATCAATCAATTAACACCTAAATTAAAATTAAGAGGAGTAAATTTCTTCTCTCAAAAATGGTTTTTAGAAGTATTCTTCTTTTTAAAAATCTAATATTCTTTGACATAAATATATCTAATAAATAGTACATAAAATAAAATTATTAACTAATCTGCCTCAAAATAAATTTGCAACTTGTTTCCATTTTGTTAAAGATTCATCATAATTCTAAATTAATTTATATCTTAGTTCAATATTAAAAGGAGTAAATCTTTTTATCCTAAAAGAGACATTTAGAAATATATATTGTACATTTGGAAAATTTAATATTCTTTGAGTAAAATATTTTCATCAAATATTATATTTTGTTTGATATTCTTTAAAATCATTTAAAATTTTTTTTAAACATGTAAAATCATAAAGTTTTATATGTTACTTTATATTTAAATAATACAAAACAATTAAATCAATGAAATAGAATACTATTTTTGCGGTAGCACGACGACAAGAACTTTAATCCTTGAAGTACCATATAATATAAAGCAACAAGATTTTTAAAGAAAAGAAAACCTTTAAAACAATCTAATTTGATTTAATTCAAATTGCTTTATTAAAAAAAAAATTGGGTGTAAATAAATGTACGCTTAAATAAAATAATAATTTTCATAAAAAAGAATTAACATTGAAAGAGATAAACATAAAAAAATAAATTTAATAAAACAGCTTTTACATTTAAATAATTCAAAAATGTTATATAAATGAAAAATAAGCTTATCTATCAAATTAATCTCTTTTGCAAACTAAGTACTAAACTATTTTTTCTGCAGAATAAAATACTTTGATTATTTCTTAATCATCCCATATAAATGTTTCGTTTGCACATTCCTCGATAAAGTTGCTTCCTCTTCTATTAGAAAAAATAATAACTTAAATATTAAATGCTGATAATAAATTGCACAAATTGAGAAATAAGTTATTTTTAGATATTTAAATATTTTCAGTTTAATATAAAATTAGTTTTATGTTCAAATTATTATCTTAGTATTACTCTTTTAGCTATTAAAAATAATTAAGTTTTTTAGATGAATTAAATTTTCTTTCAACTAATTTGTATCCTATTTATTCGGATATCAGTTAGCTTAGAGCCTATTTCATAAAATAATGAAAAGTTTAATTTTTTTAATTGAAATATTCATTCTGCTCTTTTTCATTTATGTTTTCTCTGTGATGATCTTGAAATATTTAATTATTTTCATTATTGTTTTCTTAATCAACTATATTTTCAAGCTAGAATTTTAAATCTTATTGGTTTATAAAATTTTTAATTGGATTATTATTACACTATATTTGAGAATTCTTTTGTATTTTAATTTATTTAAATTCAATATGCTAATCTTACTAATTAATTATTTCAGGATTATTCTCAATATTATTTTGCTAATTTTCTTCAAAAATACCTAGAGAAAAATAAAAGCTATGTTTATCATTTAAAGGAAAAAGTTAGTTTTTCATTTAAATGAAATAAAAGCTTTCAAAGTATTTAATTGAATTTCTTTTTGGATTTTCTTAGAAATTATTTTGCTATTCAGTAAATTCGGCACTAGAATCTGATTCGAATTACTCTAAAGAATAGTTTTACATTAAAATATTAGTTAGTTATGAATTTGATCTATGATTCAATTTTTAATATAGAAGTTAATAGTTTTGATTTAAATTAAATGATTCATTATAATTAAAAATTTTATTTAAATCATTTACAATTTATTCTTTTTAAAATTTAAGCTAACTAGTTCTTATTAACGGCATATATTATAAGACAGAGTTCCTTTATAAATCATTTAAAGAAATAGACACACTATCATCTTTTTTCACTAAAGCTTCTTCAATAAGTTTTATGAATAGTTATAATTGATCAAAGGAAAAATTTTAATTTTCTTCATATTTATAATTATTTTATTTATTTAATGATAATTTAAGTATATCTTGTTGAGGTTGGTTAATCTCAAATGAAATCACTAATTTAATATTTTTATTTTTATTAAATCTTTGTTATTAGTCTCTGATAGATTTATCTTGGATCTTAAATAAATCAAATATTTATTACAATTTAAAAATAATTCTGTAGGGCATATTTGACATTAAGCGTTTGCTTTTCTCAAGAATAGAGGTCAGAATATAAGCAGCCTTTTTATACTACTTTGTAAATATTAGATATTCGGCATAATTAAACTAAATAAATTCATATAAATTATTAGTAGGCACATTTAAAAGTGATAGTGAATTGCTTATACTAGAAATCACTTTTCCTCTATGATTAAATTCATTTGATTAATCTTATTTCTTAAATTTCTTACTTTAAAGTATACTTGTTTTTTTTTGTGGTTAGTTTTTTGAAATAAAAACATTTTGAGAATATTCAAAAACCATTTGCTAAGATATTATCGTATTATTATTGCTTTCATTATTGAAAAACTTAGGAGAATTTACATATTTTTTAGGAGAATCAAAAACTTCATGTGTATTTTAATTTACAATACTGCTAAATTTTAGACCTGTTTTCTCAGGAATTCTTTCTTTTGTAATTTTTTTTTTTGGAGTGTTGCTTTCAATTATTTTTTTTTGGAATTGCTCATGCTAATTTTTAACTATTTTTTTAGATTGTTAAATTCTTTAATAAGCCTTTTTAAATTTATTCATATTATAATAGCATTTAGACAATATACATTCACAAATTGCTTTTATATTTTCTTAGCATTGTAAGATAGAGTATAGCGGTATTAGTTCTTTAGTAAGTTTCTTAATTTGTTCCCAGAAGCTATAAAGGAATTTCTATTATTAATCATTACTGAAGTCTTATTATTAAATAATCAAAGCGAAAATATAATTAAGTTTTCTAAATATCAAATTTGAAATAAGTTCTTACAATTCTTGATATTATTCATCTTCTTTGTTAAGATCTTCTATTTAAATTACATTTTTAGTAAAAATGCCATTCCCAGATATATTTTTTTAATTAAAATTATTTAGAATTGAGGAGTCTGCAATGCCAATGCGAGAATTTTTTTTTGGCTATTTTAATTTACTTTAATTTATTTAGATATTAAATTGGCTTAACTGATTGGTATTTGATATATTAATACATTTATCTTTCATTTTATTTTGATATTCAAAAGAAAATGTTTATATTTTTTAATTTGGCATATTCTTATTTATATTTTAGTCACTAAAAGAATAGGGCTGCAGTATATTTAGGAATTTAGTGTAATCTGTTTTATCACAAAACTCTTGAATTTCATACTTAGCGCAGATAATTGAAGATTAAAAATGCTCCAAAGACGAAAAGTAGTGTTTCTGATTTAATAAGATACATCCAATATTATTGTGTGCTATTCCTAGTGCATAGTAATTATTAAATTTTTAAAAAAATTTAACTTTTTTATTGAGATCAATTAGTGTTTTTCCTTCATTTTCTATGAAAAAATGTTCACTCAAATATTAAAGCTACTAAAATAGATCATAAAAACTATTATAAAGCATCCTAGTTTCTTTCGAAAGAAATATTTCATCTGCATTTTATTAAAATTCAAGAATAATTTCATTAATATCACATAGCTTTTAAAGCAAGTTAATTCTTTGCAGTATCTAAGTCAATTTATCAATAGGTTTATAAACCTAATTTTTGACAAGAAGTAAGTATTAAAATATTGCGCAAAATAACAATAAACCAAGGATTGAAATACAAATAGAAGCAATAATTAAGATAATGGTAGATAGTTAAATTAGTTATTTAGTTTCTGCTCTTAAATCTTCATCTGAAATCATGCTAATTTATAAATAAACATATTCAAGTTATTGACCTTTAATTCCTAAGTAGCGAGTTATGTGCTTGGGGATATCATCAAACCCAACAATTGGATTTATTATTACTTTGTAAATAGACCCATTTCTCTTGTAATCAAAAATCACTTAATATTAGCTCTAATTCATCATTTAATTTAAAGTGGTTTTAGTGTTATTTGAGGTATTAAAAATCCATTTATTGTAGTTATTGCTAATAAAATTTTGAAAATACTAAGATTACTATTAATCCTCCAAAAATTGAAGCTCAACATTATAAAAGTTATCTATTTATTTAATTGAAGAGAAATTGTACTCATTCATAGAATTATAAATTATTTAAAGTGTCCTTGGATCAATTACATAGTACTACTTTGATGATTTGATAACAGTTTAGAAATAATTTGACAAATTAGAAAGCATAGCATCTAAGCATTAGATATGATGGATTTCTACTTTTTTAGTTTATGGATTTAAATATAATTATTTTTAGCATCCAAACTATGATAAATATGGTTCATGACTTCCAAATGATAAACTTGGCTAATTCATGTAAAATGAAGTCTTATTAATACTATTTTAATACCAAAACCTAGTCCTAGGATCATATTAATGTTTTGCATTTATATTTTATTTATCTATTGTATTAGATAGTGTCGTATTAGAATAAGTAGAGAAAAAAAATCCATCATCATGCGCTTAGAAAATCGCCTTAAACGGAATTGTTTCAAATTCCTAATCTGAAAGGTAGACTCTACTTTGATATCCAATAGATCTTATTATGGGGCCTATTTATGTATAGTTTTAAACAATTATTTTTTTTTGATGATCTAAGTTCTTCATATACACTTCATCCTAGTAATACCTATATATGTAATCAAATTAAAAAATAAATTTTAGGCAAACCAATTTTAAATTTGTAATCTATGTTATTAATATTAAGGGGGATCAAAATTGTTCTAAATATTAAAATACTATTTTATTAAGAAATTATAAAAATTCATTTACTCAGCATAATCAAAAAAAAAAGATTTTGTATCTCTGGTCATATTGTTAGGAGATTAAAATATACTAACCAATATACAAAGACTTAACTTGATATATTTATTATTTTTTATATTTACTAAACAATAATATTAAGGCAGACAGTAAATGTAAATATATTTGTATTATTTTAAGAGCTATTTTTTTAGAATAAGGTAGTAAAAAAAAATTCATATTCAAGCATTTAATTTTTAAAATAGTATTCTTATTGTTAGATATTTAAATATTATAAAAATAGATTGCTTAATTGATTAAAAGTCAGTGTTTAGTAATTCTACTTCATTAAATTTTAATCTTGGATTTGTATAATTAAAATTTAATTTATGATGATTTACCAAGCATCTACTAAAAAGGAGTTTTTTAAAGCTAACTCGGTAAGAGTTTAATCCTCAAGGTTAACATATGCAAGGATATTGTTCAAAAAAGATTTATGATGCATTGGATTATATATTACCTTTCCTCTAACTACTTTATCAGAAAATGAGTTAATGATGTTTAGGTAATAAGGGAATTTATAAATTTCTTTGCTCAAGCGATATGATATGTATTGAGTATGAGAAGAGCTAAATTTTACTTTATCATTGAATAAATTATCACTATATTCTTATATATAAATATTATTTTAATGAAGGGCTATCAACAAACTCGCAATAGCGCTTAAAAAAGCTAGAGTTATAGGAACTATTATTAAGATAAATAACCTGATGAGCATATCAATACAATTTTCTACTTTTTGTTTTCAGTATTTGATATTATTTTGTTATATTTATAAAAAGATTATCAAATAAAGTTAAACAATTTTCTTTCTGAATTTACATGTCATTTATTGAGTATTAGAAAAGCTTATTCTAACTTTAAAATTCAATAAACGTTTACAATATTCATATAATAATTTTTGAATTCAATGAAGGGTTACAAGAAATAAATTGAATGCCCGTCATTAAAAAGACTAGAGCTATTTATTAGAATTAGTTCTAAGATAAATAATTTAATTACTTATTTTTACTAATTTTGTTATCAATTTTGATTTTAAACTTATCTTTTGCATATTCAATTAAGATTACCAAATTTTATTTTTGTAAAGTTAGCTTACTTTTTTTCTTATTAAATAGCGCAATCAAATTTTTTTTTTCAAGCTTTTGAATAGATTACAATAATAGTAGTTTATAAATATCTCTTTGCTTAATTTTCTTTGATTTCAATAAGGTATGTAATATAAACTATATAAACATGCGTTTCAAATTAATAGTTTAGTATATAAATGATAATACTTTTTTAAGGTTTTTTCTTACTGTGTGTTGAGATTTTGTATATTTTAACTGTTAATAGTATTAAGAAAAGTGAGTTATTTCTTTAAATATGTTCAATTTATTGTATTAATGAAAAAAAACAAGTGATTATTAAATTAAATTTTACTAATATATTAATATATATAAATATTTCCTTTATCTTTAGACTAAATATTGCTATTCCTGCATTTGAAATATCATGAATCATGATATCATGATTTGTGGTATTTCAAGTAATTTTTAAATTTATTTTAAATATTTTTTTTTTATAAATCTTAATTTTTATATTTTTATTTAATTTCAAAATATTAAAATTACTTAAATTTAATAATATATAGAATTAATTTAAGATTATTATTATTAAATTTTATAATAATTATTTTTTAAAGAGTTTTTTAATATTTTAAAATAATGTTATTATCATATTTAGCTTTATTTCATAATAGAGAATTTACAATCGGGGCTTTTTTAGATCAGTACAGGTAAAAAACCTCTCTGCCATACTATTTTTTCGCCTTCCAAGTATTTTCCTTGGAGGGCTACTTTTCATACTTTTTAAAAAACAATTTTTAACAAATTTTTATTATTGTTGCTTCATACTTTCTTTATAAATTTTATATTTAATCTTCCTTCTCACCTATTTATTATTTATATTTTTATTTCTTTTGCTTCCACTTATTATTTTATAAGGATATGTAGGCTTGTTTTTCGTTAATTTCGCTATCGAATTTTTTTTGAATAAAATTAAAAATAAAACAAAAAATACTACACAAGTAATCACATCATTTTTGGCATTTATATAATTTATAAATAAATAATATAACACTAACAGGTTCAAATTATTTGATCATTTTTGGAGAAACCATAGGGTTACTTAAGAGGAATTAATTTATTTAAGTAAATTTAATTTTTTTATTTATTATAAATAATTTATCAACTTACAAAAATAAATATGAATGATATTTATAAATATAAAATCAATAATAAAATCTATCTATATATCAGTTTATATTTTAGATTTAAAAAAACTTTTCAAAATATTATATAATATTATTCAAACATTTAATATTTATTCATTCATCCTTTTTTCGCCACTTGTTTATCACCAGAATTATTTTTGAAAGACAACTAATCTTTTTGATTTAAGACACTTGCTTCTTAATTTGATTCTTTATGATTCATTCTTTAGGCTAATATTTTATAATAAATTTGTGTAA